CAAATGTTTGATTAAAGTATACACCCGCAATTATCTTTTTATGTAATATTAAAAAAAATCAAGTTTCCGTAGAAATCTCTGAGTAATAAATAAACAAAATCTAAGCCTATGTTATTCAATGATTTTATTATTTTTCTTGATACATGATTCTTTGAAAGTGATGTTAAAACAAATCGATGTAAACCTTAAATGTCACAATTTTCCTATTCCTTTCTTTTCCTTTTAGGATTCAAGAGACGCCTAGTCGTCGAATTTTCAAGATCCTTCGCGAGAAACAAGCTGTAGAAGCAAGAATGTCGGATTCCGAGGGTATCGGGAGCGTTCTCGATTCGGCGAAGTTTGAGGCTGAGAAGTCTGAGGAGGGCAGCGAGCCAGTGCCAACTTGGCAGAATCATCCATGTGACGAGAAAAAGGGGGAATTGGAGAAGCTCTTACAATCAATGATGGATTCTTGCGAGTCGTCGCAAGAGGAAATCGAAAAGGAAGAGAACGAGGCTGACGAAAAGAACACGATAGGTAAGTGTTTTATTAGGAAGTCCAATTCAAATGAATTATTTTTCTGACATACAAAACGAATCGATTTATATTTGTCACAATTGATGAAAAAGAGAAAGTAATGGAAGCAGTTAAACACCTTCGCGGAAAACGTTAAAAACCAATCTCTCGAATGTTAGACGGGGAAAAAGAAGGGTGTTGTGAATCCACGAGAGTCATTTACTGTCCATTCTCCGCTTTATTCGTAACAAGCAAACGTCGAGTTAAAGAGAGAGAGAGAAAAAGAGAGAGAGAGAGAGAGAGAGAGAGGAAAAGATAACGAAAAGTTTGCTTTGGGGGAAGAAAGAAATAAAGAATAGACTTTCGAGAAAGAAGAAGAGAACCCAGGTAACCTGTTGAGAGCTTCTGGAGAGGGCGAAAATGGAGAGCTTGCTGCAGCTTAACTTGGACAATTTCCCAGACACACGCCAAGGGCATTACAAGAGAAAGTGGTTGAAGTCAGCTTGCGTGTGCGCGCGCACGTCAAGAGAAAAGGAAATTTCTCTAGCCTCGGGTAGAATTTTCTTGCGTTGAATTTTCCTTCTCTATTTTCTTCTCATATCTGTTCTATTCTTAGGAATAAGAGACGCTAGTAGATGTTGTCTCTATTTTCTTCTTATTCCTCTTTTTTTCTTAAGGTACAAGAGACGCTGATTTTTTTCGAATACGAAAAAGAAGAAAAAAAGGACTTTCCTAAAACTTATTTCTCATGCCGATAGTGTATTTTCTGGGAAAATTAGCGACGAGTCAAAATGTGGATTTGTCGATTTTGACAAAATTCTTTCCTTTAGGGAGGATCAGAGAGAGATAGATAAATAGATAGATAGATAGATAGATAGATAGGCAGAAAGAGAGAGAGAGAGAGAGAGAGAGAGAGAAAAAGAGGGATCGTGTCCGGAGATTAACTCTATTAGAAGGATAAGAATTACTGCGCGGAAGAAACCCTCCGGTGGTCTTTACGTTCGTGGAATAACGAACGATCGGGTCTTGATCGAAATATTAATTGGAATTGATGGTACACCTAGGTTTAGCTATAGTAACGTTAATTAATAAATAAAAAAGATCTGTAAAGTCGAATGAATGAGTCGAACACTAGTAAAACTAATTAATAGAGAGGACTATATTTAGAGTCAAAAGAATGAATGTATGGCCATTAAAATTTAAAAGGCACTGAATACGAGACACGTACAGCATTTGTACATACACCAGTCACTATAAACTTGGATGTCACGAACTAAGAAAATTAAGCTCATAAAACAGGAAGCCGCAGAAATGCTATGGCGACCGTTTAATAGCATCGAGGACCAAAGTATCGTCACGCAATTTAGTAATGTCTTCTCCGACAAAAGTCTAACTCATTCTTCGTCCACAAAGACGAAGGGAATACCTTGGAAATACTAGCATAATTAAAATAATAAATTCTGTTGCCGGAGCGCGACGCCCTTAGCGTCTAAATTAGTAACACAGAATAGTACGTATTGTGAATTCTCTCTTGCGTTTCTCTAGCCGCAAAAAGCGTGTCTTGAATTATAAATGCTAAAGTGCCTCATATGTGCTCTCTCTTTCTCTAACTATTTTGTTCGTCCTTATTTTCTTTCTCTTTTTTATACAGATTCCTAATCCTGATGATCATAAGGAATCCTAACGCGTCGAGGTCGCTCCAGATAGGGTTCTGATTTTATTAGGGAAATGTTCGTTAGGAAACGTACCTGGCGAGGAGCCAATTCGATCTCACGCTTCGTCGAATTTATTCTTTGAAATTGCGGACTCCGAAGTGCCCGGTGGATCTGTGCTCTGGCTCTTCTTTTTTCTTATCTATCTTTGAGTAGAACTGGACGATTTGGAAGACATAGCGAAATTTAAGAATTCTAGTATATTCCAACTGTGTACGTCTCTCACTAAGGAATTTTTTCGAAACGGAGAAATGTTGGGAGAGCCAACATACATCTGGAGATTATCATAATGTCGTTTGTCAGCCTGAAGCGTGTATAAGCGTGACGAGTATGTATTCACGAAGTGACAGTTTTTCCCTTCCCCTTTTAAACCTTTCTGAAAAGTTTCGATGCGTTATATTTGGCAGATGTATTTCTGTCTCTCTCTTTCTCTCTCTTTCTATCTATCTATCTATCTATCTATCTATCTCTTTTTGTCTTCTGAGTGCTTCAATATTTTCATTCGACTAGAGTGTCGAATTTATAGACGACGCCGCCTGGCGTCGATTTTTATTTTCTCTTAGTTTATTTCTGTCAATCAAGATTTTCCGATTGGACGCGGTCTAACGAGCTTACGAGCACTTCCAAGGAATTTTGAATCATTCACGAGTTAAATACCAAAAACAAAAGTTCAGATAATGGTTGTGAGTGTGTAAGTTAGTACTATTGATTTAATCTATCAAATTAACGAACAGTATCTTTAAAAAGAAGAGAAACTTCGGTACAAGAAACTTCTTAGACCTCTTTTTTAGGCAATAAAAATGCTTTGTTATGTGCAAGTATATTGCGGGAATAAAAGAGTTTAACAAAATTTCTTACAGATAGATGACAAACAATATTATCGAGAAACTATGACGTGATGTTTATCTTTAGGACTGATCTTCATGTATAACTAATTAGATAATTAATAATGATCCTAAACCAATAAATTAATTTATTCAAATGAACGTTCTTTTACGTCGAGTTTGGGTTCTTTGCGATTACGAAGAAGCCGGATATTTTTTCTCCTCGCGAAAAAGAAAAAGGGAGGAAGAGGAAGACGTTTCAAAGGCGTCGGTGGTATCGCGACGTCGGATCGACGAAGGCGTCCGTGAAAAATGACGTTGGGCTGAAAAGCTCCCTAAATAAGAAATCACTTTGGAGGTTGCACGGAGGGCACATTATTCAGTTGCTAGGAAAAGTCGAAAGTAAAATGGTCGTGAAACCGCGCGAGATTCTCTGTCATCAATTTTCACGTCGCGTTGCTACAAAAAAGGGCGCGAAAAGCGTTTTGCCATAGAAAAGGAAGCGAATCAGGAATCGAGGAGAATGTAGAATTATCAGTTTTGCATGCAGCACTGGTAATCCATAAGCTTGTTTTGTTATTCTAAAAAATGGAAGAATAATCAGAACAATGAAACGCAAGGGAAAGAGGCACGCAATAAAAGATTGGAACGGTGGCTGGACATGTTTTTTTATCGAATCATAGAGGATATTATTTCATGATGATTAATCAAATGTCTGTAATTAAAGAAAATAAATCAAAGTAATTGATAAAGATATCGTCCATATCTATCCTGAATTTTTTTTTTTCGACATTACAAAAAAGAGAGGTGTTTCAACTTTTTCTATCTCTCGATTATTGTTCTTTATTCGTATCTTTGATGATGAATTCTGCTTCAATGAAAGGGACACAAGATATTTGTAAATAAAAATAATTCTATATAAAAGAACCAAGGATGGAGAATGCATTTGCTTGATTTTTTTTTATATGACTAAAGATTAAAATATGCGAAATGAAAAGTATCCATTCTATCATGCTTACTTTATATTCATGTAAATGTAATAAATGTACAAATATTTTATATATTAAAAATTTTGCATATTAAGAAGGAATACGTTTGAAAAAAATAATTATAATAAGAAATATCGAGTAGTTACAGAAGTATTATTATTTCATTTCAATAAATTGCGATTTTTTTCACATATAATAAGATGAAAAAGATTGACCTTTTGGGTCATTCCTTCTTTCCGCTTTTGGGAATTTATAAAGGCCAGTTGATATTTAACCTCGACTAAGTTTTTTTATAGTCAGTTACTTATTACACTGAAAGAGGGCATCGATTTAAAACATTTATAAAAAACATCTACCAGCATTTTTAGGAAATTATATAGATTAATCAGTCAAAACGCTTAGCTATATTAATTCTTGGAATTATTCGATCGTCGATATTGAACGTTTTACGAATTCCTTTTCTGTACGAATTTGAAAAAAAATGAAGATCATAAAATACTTTCAAAAAAGTTCCTTTTGTTATCGCCGATGATAATTTTAATAATTGATTAATAAATTTTGTAAAGTACACTTACTACTTCCGATTCCCCAATTTCGTATAAATCAATTCAGCGGAACCTTCGTCAAAATTCTCTAGAGAAGTTTTCTCATCTCGAGGTTCCGTAACGACTACGTAGGCTTCTTCACGAGTAGAAATAAGGAAAGGATAAAGAGGACGGATCGCGTGCAATGTCAGCCGCGTTTCAGGACATATCGTGCGTTCCGTGACAATAGGCTCGCCAATAAGCGAGCGAGCCTTCTTCAAAGACACGATCGTTGCCAATAGTAGTGGCAACCGTACCAGGTTCAGTCCGTACCTGGTTTCCTGACCTGCTTGCAAAGCTTTAACGGAATATTATTGGAATTTATGAAAATTCGACCCTAACAAGTTATGAATATTAATTATTAAAAGAGAGACTTTATTCATTTTGATAGAAGAAATGGCTACACCGGACACACCAACGGATTTTCGTCTCGAGTATATCGGTAAATTTGTACAAAAATCTCTTAAATTAAAACCGGAAAAATGGGGAAAATTATTATTGACCAAAGAATACAGGACCGCTGTGTTCGATTTTCTGAACAATCCATTACCAATGGCTCTCTTTGTTGTATTGACACCAAATGTTCAGCTGGTAGCATCCACTTCTTTTCCAATACCGTGTCAAAGAATGAAAGGTGAGAGAGACGGTAAAAGTAAGAACATACGATATATAGGATTTCATGGACTCTTAGATTGAGTGAATTCTCAATCGTAGGTCTTTATATCGTGAAAACGATTAAAGCACCATTACCAAAAGAAGAAGGTGCTTACTCATCGATATTAATAATTGGTGATCTCTCTCATCGTGTGGTTGATCAATTGGCTACTTTGATCGATAACGTCTTCGCGCCACTTCTGAGTAATCCAAAGAATCATAAGGATCTACCGGATGTAGCGATACAGGATATCTCTAGGCACGTACACTCTCTTAGAGGCACTTTGTATCAGGTAAGCTTTCACGTTGCACTTCTAAATGCATAATGAAAATTTTCATTTGATATGATATGCGATAAATTTCGCGGGCATGATTAAAATGACTTCCTTGAGATGATCAGGTGAAAGGTCAAGTGAATGGCAGGACAGTTCTACCAATGCCAGCCGGCTTAGAGAAGGTGACAGAAGTTGAGAGATTGGTCTCGACGGTAGGACCACAGGCGGTCGATTTGTATCTGAAGAGCGCCATCGAGGGTGTAGTGATAAAGTGGGCTTATTTGGTGAATGACGTTGTCACTCACGAATCAAGCGCCGCTTTTGAGAACGGTCAACAACCAACGCCGAATGCTGAACTAGAATATTGGTCCGTCAAACTGGCGAATTTAAGGTGGAAGAGAAGTAGAGATCAAAAAAGGAAAGGAAAAATCATTAAAATTACGATAGCATATTATTTTTCTAGGTACATTTACGATCAGCTTCAGGAGGATAAAGTAAGGAAGATGGCGACGATTTTAGAGAAAACCGAGAGTGCTTATTTTCCATGCTTTCGAACGCTCTCGGAAAACGTTGTGGCTTCCTTGGAGGAAGCAAAAGATATATCCTTGTATCTAATGCCGTTGGAGAAGTGTTTCAAGGCTATAGAAGAGACGGATTTCTCCGAGACGAAACCCTTAATGGCGGTTCTGATCCATTCCTTGGGATTAACGTGGGCACATTCGAAATATTATCAAAGTTCCTCGAAACTAATCATCATGTTACGGCAAATATGTAATTTATTGATACAAGAGGCTCAAAAATTTCTCGATCCTACGTCAATTTTTCAGAGTGACGTGGATGAGGCACTTCAACGCGTACAGATATCGCAAGGTATGGTTCAACAAGATATTTAAAGCCAATACGATATATATCTTACCCTTTCAGATATTCTGGAAGAATTTAAACGTCAGTTCGAGGCAAGAAGAAACATACCCGGTATGAAGCCTGAAGCACTACCTTGGTCTTTCACTTCTGGCGTCGTTTTCATACGTCTCGACGCATTTCTCAAACGTTTGGCGGATATAGAGTGGCTCTTCTATACCGTCTTAGAATTTTCCAAGCTCGAGAAAATCGAGATCGGTGGTATTCTCGGTCGATCGCTTAGTAATAGAATCATCGGTATTTTCAAGGAATTCCAACAGCTCTTTCTTTCCTTTACGGTACGAGCTAACGATGTTCTCGAGCCGGACGATGAAACTTTTGCCCTAGACTGTGCGAAATTTAATCTATCCATTACCGATTTGGATAATAAACTGGCTGCCATATTGTGTCAATCTTTCGATGACTGTGGTAATCTCGAAAGTGTGTTTAAAGTACGAAATCATTTTATTATAATAGTTAAATAGTTGAAGCATTTATAAATTGATATTTAAAAAATGATTTTAGCTGATCAATATCGCAGGATCGGTGTTAGATAGGCCGATGATACATAAACAATTTAGCGATCGGTATTCGAGAATTTTGGAACTTCTTAATATCGAGTTGAACGTCGTTGAAGCTTTATTCAATCGTGGCACCAAAGGAGCTCTAACTGATCTTCCTCCTTTAACAGCTGCTTTAACGTTCACCAGTATGCTTAGACAACGAATTGAACTTCCTATTCAAAATTTTAAGGCCATGCTAAATCCGTATGTAGAATCGAGTTTAATCGTTAAATCTAGCTTTGCATAAGATAATAATTTTACTTTTAGTATTATTAATACGGAAGAGGGAATCGCTATAATCGAACGTTATGAAAGACTTATGAATATTTTTTCTGAAAAAGAAGAAAATCTCTTCGTAGAGTGGGCGGAAGCCGTTCCAAAGACAGTAGATGCTGGTTTAGATTGTAACTTAATGATCAGGGATCGACATTCTGTTTTACGATTGAATTTCGATCCCGATATTTTAGCTATTTTGAAGGAAGTAAACTACTTAAAACATATGTCTCGTTCGGATATTCCTCAGGAAGCTTTAGAGGTAGATGTTTGTTTATCGTAATCAATAAGCATGTTAAAATTTATACATTGTAATATATATCTATTTAATAAATAATGTATCAGGTGTCCGAAAAAGCGGAGACCTTTAGAAAATTCCGTACATTACTTACCGCGACCATCGACTCTTACAATGACACTCGTAGATCGACAAGAAGCGTCGAACACGATTTGATCGAATCAGAATTAGCGGAAATCAATTCTATGATATTCCGAGGTGAGTTCGAGCTCTGTTGGCGATCGGATGGACTTTCAGAATACATTGTGAAATTGGAAGAGCTTGTAAACGAACTTTGGAAGCGTGTGAGAGCTTCTCAAACGAATGTGGACAAGATTAAATTAATTTTGGAGCCTTGGACAAAAATGCCTCTTTTCGAAAGAAAGGATTGTCGCAAGGATATGTTGCTTTGTTTAGACGAGAGACAGGAAAGAGTCTCGAAACGTTATACTGACGTGAAGAAAGCTGCTGAGCAAATACATTCGTTGTTAGAAGAAAATAAGAAGCTGTTTCAAATTACCGATGTTGAGAAGGAAAACGCTTGGAAGGAGTACGTAAAATATGTCGACGACATTGTGATAGAGTCACTTCGCAAAACCGTTGGCTGTAGTCTTGGTTACCTGGCAGATAATATGGACTCAAGCGTTCAAAACGAACCACTTCTAGAAGCTAAATTGGAACTAAGAGAACCCGATCTTTATTATGTGCCTTCGTTGGAGCCCGACGATCCTGATGGTCTCGAGCAACTTACTGCTGGATTATTGAACGACATCATTGGTATGGCCACGCTGATTCCACGATTGAAGGCTGACTATATTGGATATGCCGAGGAATTGGAAAACGATTCCGATGTTAAAGGAATGAAGAATGAAATTTTAGAAAGTTTAGCTACCGCAATAGATGAGGCGACCGATTTTTGTGGAACTTTTGAAGGTATCGTGATTAAAACTTGGAGAAATAATTATCAAACGATAATCATTAACTCTACTGAAAATGAATTTTCATCGTTTGAGATTAGGATACGCTTATCTTTGGCTCGAAGATAGGGATGTGGTGATGCAACAGTTTCTCGAATACAGTCGACAGTTAACGATAGAGGAAATGGAGATGATAGCCGCTCAGGATCCCAAGGGTCCGGTGCGGTCTGTGCCGAAGAAGGAGCAATTCCGCGAACAAATCGATCTCTACGAGGGTCTTTATCTCGAGATCGAGGAAATGGATCTGTCGAGAGTATTTTGCGGTTGGTTCAGGGTAGACCTACGACCCTTCAGACAGTCAGTCCTAAATATTGTTTGTAAATGGTCAAGTATGTTCAAGACACATATGGTTGATCATGTTACTAGTAGTCTATCGGATCTCGGAGCGTTTATAAGGTATTAAAAAAGTAACATGATGTACGTCCTCATTATTAAAATATGAATTTAATGAAAAGTACTTAATATCTGTCTAGACGAGCGGACGAAGGATTATTGCAGCAAGTACAGCCTGGAGATTATCTGGGACTTGTCAGTATTATGGGATATTTGATGCAAGTTAAAGAGAGACAACCTACGACGGATGAAATGTTCCAACCCCTGGAAGAGACCGTCGAGTTACTCAAGTTTTACGATCAAGACATTCCCGAGGAAGTGAATGTATTACTTCAAGAACTCCCAGAACAATGGGCCAACACGAAAAAATTGGCCCTTATGGTGAAACAACAGGTTGCCCCTTTGCAAGCGAGTTCGTAAAACTTTCACTAACTTTCTTAAATCTTTCTTTTTCGGATTGCAAACGTTTTTTAAGCGAAATGTCGTCCATAGGCGAGGTTTCCAGAATCCGTGGTCGCATTTCTGCATTTGACACAACGATAATACTTTATCGCGAGGCATTCAGGCGTTATGATTTCTTCAAATTTGAATGTCAAAATCCGTACGAATTGCTGGACGAAGCTCATAAAGAAATACACATGTTGGAGTGTCAAATGAAAGACATACAGGAGTCAGCCTCGTTGTTCGAGGTGAGTGTGCCGGAATTCAAGCAATTGAAACAATGTAGAAAGGAATTGAAGATGCTTAAGCAATTGTGGGATTACGTAAATATCGTATTGAGTAGTATAGACGGATGGAAAACTACTCCTTGGAGGAAAATCGATGTAGAGAATATGGACATCGAGTGTAAAAAATTTGCCAAAGAAATACGAGGTTAATAGTTAATAATTAATACTTGGAATCTATTTATCGTTTTTTATTAAAAATTAAAATGAAATTAATAATATTTTTTACTTAATTAGCTTTAGATAAAGAAATGCGTCAATGGGATACTTATATATTGCTCGAAGGAACCGTAAAAAATATGTTAACATCATTACGAGCAGTTGGAGAACTTCAAAATCCAGCGATTCGGGAAAGACATTGGAATCAATTGATGAACAGTACGAAGGTATTGCCGTTACGTATCTGATAAACATTTCATTCCTGGGATAAGTAAAATTAAGAGATCGTTATTAAAAAATTGTCTATATTTTAAGAAATTTATGATATTTTTTTATACCGATACTCGCAAACTTCTAATCGCAAACGTTGCATTAATATATATTAGAATTAGTTGCACTGCTGTATATACGCTGTCGATGTTACAGAAATTGGGCTACATGACTCCAGAGATGACCGTAAGTTCACTGTATATAAAGTGCACCATACAATATATTTTTTAATTATTGTATGAAATCTCTTTTCAATATGTGTTTTAACGCCATAATATCAGACATATCATCATTTTTTCAAACTATTTTAAGGCACTTTAATGGCTTAATTAATTTTTAATATATATTTTTATAAATCGTTGCATTTCTCTAAATAAATTTAACATCATAATCATAACAATCATTGTAAAGTATCATTGTACATTTTCTGAATAAATTCATTATAGTTTTTCATGAGACTCTATTCATGATACACATTTCTATAATTTCACTGCTCTTGAAATGCACTTGATTAGTCTTGATCCTTTCTTTCCTGAAATGGAGATATAAAAGATAGATTTTATTCCGAACTGACGTTAGACAAGATTCCACTGTGTAGGTACGTTTCGTAATGGATGAATCAACAAAGTTGGCCGATTTACTCGAATTGAATCTTCATGAATGCGAAGAAGAAGTGAAGAATATCGTCGATAAAGCAGTAAAAGAAATGTCGATGGAGAAGTATATGCGAGAATTGAATGTCACATGGTCGAAAATGGAATTTGAGAAAGAGATTCACGTTAGAACGGGTGCAACCTTGATCAGAGCGAGCGAAGAATTGATCGAAACTTTAGAAGAAAATCAGGCAGGTGTTACTTAACTTTGGTTTAAGAACATCAGCTTTAAAGAGACTTTATCGAGTTTCGAGAAATTCTTTTCAGGTTCAATTACAAAATCTAATCACATCCAAGTTCATTGCGCATTTCTTGGAAGAGGTTTCAGCTTGGCAAAACAAGTTAAGCATCGCGGATCAAGTAACCACAGTTTGGTTCGAAGTTCAACGAACTTGGATGCATTTAGAAAGTATCTTCATGTCTTCCGAGGATATTCGTCGTCAATTGCCCATAGATGCTGAAAGATTTAACAAAATAGATAAAAAATTCAAAGAGATGACGACAGAAATGGCGAAGACACCGAACGTGATCGAAGCAACAAATAAAGATGGTTTGGTAGCTGCTTTGGATTTACTCCAAAAGGAGCTTGTCCTGTGTGAGAAAGCTTTGGCCGAGTATTTGGAAGCGAAACGTTTAGCTTTTCCTCGATTTTACTTTGTATCCTCGAGTGATTTATTGGACATATTGTCCAATGGAAGTCAGCCGGAAATTGTAGCGAGACATTTGACAAAGTTGTTTGATTCGATGGCTCGACTGAAATTCGACAATTCAAATGAGCAAACGACTAAACGTGTTTTAGGTGAATCTAGAGAATATGATTTTCAATTAAATATATAATTCAATTTAAGTAAGAGATAAATCTGTTTTTTAAGGAATATTCGCGAAGGACGGAGAATATGTGAAATTTTGTAATTACAAGATGATTTGCGATGGACCGGTCGAGGTTTGGCTGAATCGACTTCAACTTTCTATGAGGGTTTCCATTCGGTATTATTTCAGTGAAGCCGTTATTGCTTACGAGGAAAAACCGCGAGAGCAGTGGCTTTTTGATTACCCAGCTCAAGTTTCTCTCTGTGGTACACAGATCTGGTGGACAACCGAAGTTAATTTAGCTTTCGCTCGATTGGAGGAAGGTTACGATAACGCAATAAAGGATTACTTAAAGAAGCAGATCTCTCAGTTAAGTACTCTAATAACGTTATTAATTGGAGAACTTACGAAACAAGAGAGACAAAAAGTTATGACGATCTGTACAATAGACGTGCACTCCAGAGACGTTGTAACAAAGTTGGTTCAGTCGAAGGTAGAAACCGCTCAAGCTTTTCAGTGGCAAAGTCAATTGCGGCATCGTTGGGATGAAAAAGAGAAGGATTGCTTTGCCAATATTTGCGATGCTCAGTTTAAATATTCTCACGAGTATCTAGGAAATACTCCTCGGTAAGATGCAAGATAAGATACATCGAAAAAACTTTTTTGAAATCTTCGATTATTATTATGAAATTATTTTTTTATCGATCATTTAGGTTAGTCATCACACCACTGACCGATAGATGCTATATAACTTTAACACAATCGTTACACTTGATCATGGGCGGTGGACCAGCCGGTCCAGCTGGTACGGGTAAAACAGAAACGACGAAGGATCTTGGTAGAGCTCTTGGAATTATGGTCTATGTCTTCAATTGTTCCGAACAAATGGATTACAAATCCTGTGGAAACATATACAAAGGACTGGCGCAAACGGGTGCTTGGGGCTGCTTCGATGAGTTCAATCGAATTACAGTCGAGGTACTGTCGGTCGTTGCTGTGCAAGTGAAATCGATCCAAGATGCCATCAGGAATAAAAAGGAAAAGTTCAATTTCATGGGTGAGATAATAGGATTGGAACCGACTGTGGGAATATTCATAACAATGAATCCTGGTTACGCTGGTCGTACAGAATTACCGGAGAATTTAAAGGCACTTTTTCGACCTTGCGCCATGGTCGTGCCCGATTTCGAACTAATTTGCGAAATTATGCTGGTAGCAGAGGGATTTCAGGAGGCAAGAGTACTCGCGAGAAAATTTATCACACTCTATACTTTGTGTAAGGAATTGTTATCGAAACAAGATCATTACGATTGGGGACTGAGGGCGATAAAGTCCGTTCTCGTAGTGGCAGGAAGTTTAAAAAGAGGTGATCCTGGTAGACCCGAAGAAGAAGTTCTCATGAGAGCGCTAAGAGACTTTAATATTCCTAAGGTAGTCTCGGATGATCTACCTGTCTTCATGGGCTTGATCGCAGATCTTTTTCCGGCCTTGGACGTACCCAGAAAGCGAGACGTCGAGTTTGAAAAGATGGTTAAACAAGCTGCTACCGATGTTTCATTGCAACCAGAGGACGGTTTTATTCTGAAGGTTGTACAGTTAGAGGAATTGCTCGAAGTAAGACATTCCGTATTTATAGTAGGCTCTGCTGGATCTGGGAAGACTCAAGTATGGAAGACCTTGTTTAGAACGTATCAAAATATTAAGAGAAAGCCAATTTATAATGACTTGAATCCAAAAGCTGTGACCAACGACGAATTATTCGGTATTATCAATCCGGCGACTCGCGAATGGAAAGATGGTCTCTTTTCTGTGATCATGCGAGAACAAGCTAATTTGGGAGGCGATAATCCTAAGTGGATTTTGCTAGACGGTGATATCGATCCAATGTGGATCGAATCTTTGAACACTGTTATGGACGATAATAAAATTCTTACATTGGCAAGCAACGAAAGAATAGCGTTGACGCCAGCTATGAGACTGCTCTTCGAAATATCGAATCTTAGAACGGCTACTCCTGCCACTGTATCACGAGCTGGCATCTTATATATAAATCCGCAAGATTTAGGCTGGAATCCATATGTTACTAGCTGGGTCGAGAAGAGAAGCAATCCTGTTGAAAAATCTAATTTGGTAATGCTCTTTGACAAATACATTCCTACGTGTTTGGAAACTTTACGGAGCAGATTTAAAAAGATTACACCTATAGCTGATATGGCTCACGTAGAAATGTTATGCCATTTACTCAATTGTCTTCTAAAGCCAGAATTAACGGCAACTGATTTTTTGAAAGATCATTACGAGCTTTACTTTGTATTCGCAGCTGTTTGGGCATTTGGTTCGGCCATGTTTCAAGACCAGACTATCGATTATCGAATAGAATTCACCAAATGGTGGGTGAACGAATTCAAACAGATCAGATTCCCTTCACAAGGCACTGTCTTCGATTACTACATCGATTCAGAGACAAAAGACTTCGTTTTGTGGACCGAACGTCTTCCGAAGTTTGAGCTAGATTCAGAGATGCCTTTACAAGCCGTTTTGGTTTATACGTCTGAATCTATAAGAATAAAATATTTTCTGGATTTATTAATGCCTGAAAAACATCCCGTAATGTTAGTTGGTTCTGCAGGTTGTGGAAAAACCGTTTTAGTTTCCGAGAAACTCTTACAGCTGCCGGAAAATTTTGCAATTTCGAACGTACCATTCAATTTTTATACGACATCGGAAATGTTACAAAAAATTCTGGAAAAGTCCTTGGAGAAAAAGGCAGGTAGGAATTACGGTCCACCAGGAAACAAAAACTTGGTCTACTTCATCGATGATATGAATATGCCGGAAGTTGATACTTACGGTACAGTCCAACCTCACACATTGATTCGTCAACATTTAGATTATGGTCATTGGTATGACAGAACGAAACTAACATTGAAAGACATACATAATTGTCAATATGTGAGTTGCATGAATCCTACGGCGGGATCTTTCACGATCAATCCAAGATTGCAAAGACACTTTGTTGTTTTCGCCGTTAGTTTTCCTAATACCGAATCTCTGACAACAATTTATGCCTCGATATTGTCACAGCATCTTGCTAACGTGGAACATAGGTGACTGATAAGAGAATATTTTTTATGTAAATCCATATAAATGCAGTATTTTGTTTTTATCTGTCATTATTTTTAGATTTCCACTTTGTGTTACCGAACTCTGTTCCAATATCGTTCAAGCCTCGATTCAACTGCATCATCGTTGTGCACAGATGTTCTTACCGACAGCCGTCAAGTTTCATTATATTTTCAATCTCCGCGATATTTCCAACTGTTTCCAGGGTTTGTTGTTTAGTGGTAACGAGTGTTTGCAATCGTCGATAGATTTAATAAGGCTCTGGATGCATGAGACTCACCGAGTTTACGGAGACAAATTGATAGATGAAAAAGATATAGAAACTTTCTCGAAATTGCAATTGGATATTTTGAAAAAGAATGTAGAGGAAGTTGACGAGGGTTCGATTTTGGAGAAGCCAAATATTTATTGTCATTTTGCAGGTTTTCTTTGTTATTAAAGTAACTAGGAATAATCCGAATAATTTTGATCATGAAATGAAATATACTTTAGGAGGAGTTGGTGAACCAAAATATATGCCAATAAAAGACTGGGCCACGTTACATCGATTACTATCCGAAGCCATGATCAGTTACAACGATCTTGTAGCTGCTATGAATTTAGTACTATTCGAGGACGCCATGATGAATGTTTGTCGCATAAACAGGATATTGGAATCGCCGAGAGGAAGTGCACTGCTGGTTGGCGTCGGTGGTTCTGGCAAACAAAGTCTTTCCCGTTTGGCTGCCTTCATAAGTTCACTGGAAGTCTTCCAGATTCAATTGAAGAAGGGTTACGTCATCGTCGATCTTAAGTTGGAACTCGCATCGCTATATTTGAAATCGGGTATAAAAAATCTCGGTATAGTCTTTCTCATGACTGATGCTCAAGTACCAAACGAGCAATTTCTTGTACTAATTAACGACATGCTCGCATCTGGTGAAGTTCCCGATCTTTTCGCTGAAGATGAAATAGAAAATATAATAGCAGGTATATGTTTACATTGATAAATTGCAATAGACGAAGTTGATGCTTAAAGCATTCGATTTTCTTAAATCATTATAGGCGTACGAAATGAAGTCAAGGGAGCCGGCATGCTCGACACTCGCGAGAATTGTTGGAAATTCTTTATCGATCGTGTACGACGTCAATTAAGAATTGTTTTATGTTTCTCACCTGTTGGATCCACACTCAGAGTCAGATCTCGAAAATTTCCGGCTATAGTAAACTGTACAGCGATCAACTGGTTTCAGGAATGGCCTCAAGAAGCTTTGATGTCAGTGTCAAAGAGATTTCTGCAAGAACTTAATGAACTTTCAGAAAGTTACAGGTTTATTGTCTTTTACTAAACAACAAAGTTGTTACTGTATTTTTGTACATATAAGATTACATTTTATGTAGGGAATCGGTTGCAAAATTCATGGCCCACGCTCATACAAGTGTCAATATAGCTAGTCGACACTATTTAGCTAGTGAACGTCGTTATAATTACACGACTCCTAAATCTTTCTTGGAACAGATCAGTATTTATACGAGACTTTTGAAAACCAAATCTAGCGAGCTTCGTGCGCGCGTCATGAGATTAGAAAATGGATTGGATAAGCTCAGATCGACGGCAGTGCAAGTGGATAGCTTGAAAGAAAAGTTGGCCATGCAGGAAATGGAGTTACAACAAAAAAACGAAGCTGCCGATGCTTTGATTGCCATTGTCGGAGTTGAAACGGAAAAAGTCCAAACAGAAAAAGCGCTAGGTGATTATTTTAACTAAACGGAAACAGGACACATAAAAATCTCAATAAATTTTATAGCCGACGAGGAAGAATCTAAAGTAGCTATAATAGCCGAGGAAGTATCGAAGAAGCAAAAGGATTGCGAGGTGGATTTAATGAAAGCCGAGCCGGCTTTATTGGCAGCCCAAGAAGCTTTGAATACATTAAATAAAGCGAATCTCACCGAATTGAAGTCGTTCGGTTCGCCACCTGGTGCCGTGACAAACGTGACAGCGGCTGTAATGGTTTTGCTTGCACCAAATGGAAAAGTTCCGAAAGATAGAAGCTGGAAAGCAGCGAAGGTATCGCGCTATAAAATTATTTGAACATTTTTCGATATTAACTTTCTTGTACATACCTAGATCGTCATGGCGAAAGTCGACTCTTTTCTCGATGCTTTAATTAATTATGAAAAGGAAAACATCCATCCAGAAGTTATAAAAGCGATACAACCATATCTGAAGGACTCGGAATTCGAGCCAGAATTCGTGAGATCGAAATCTGCTGCTGCTGCTGGCTTGTGCGCTTGGGTGATCAATATCATCAAGTTTTATGAAGTTTTTTGTGATGTTGAACCTAAGAGGAAGGCACTCGCCCAAGCGAACGCTGAGTTGGCTGCTGCACAAGACAAATTGTCAGTCATTAAACGAAAAGTTGCTGTGAGTGGTCTGATTATCAAACAAAATGGCTTTGATTTTTCAAGTATCTCATTTTTTCTGTTCTAATAGTCTTTGGAAGAACAGTTAGCCAAATTAACTGCAGACTTTGAACAAGCGACGTCAGAAAAATTGAAATGTCAACAGGAAGCAGATGCAACTAATGCAACGATTGCACTTGCAAATAGACTAGTAGGTGGCTTAGCATCTGAGAATGTTCGTTGGGCTGAGTCTGTAGCAAGGTAAAAAAACTAATAAACATCAAACGTAAATAAAATAAGACGTTAAAAATTATAAGCGTTAAAAAATATTAGTTTCATGCAGCAAGCATCCACCCTACCAGGAGATGTTCTTTTAGTAACAGCATTTATATCATATGTTGGTTGCTTTACAAAACAATTCCGTCAAGATTTGTTGAATAAGCAGTGGTTACCATTTTTACGAAACCTGGAACCTTCCGTACCAATTACCGAAGGACTGGATCCTCTATCATTATTGACAGATGACACGCAAATCGCAAAGTGGAATAACGAGGGCTTACCAAACGACAGAATGTCAACAGAAAATGCTACCATTCTAATTAGCTCGGATCGTTGGCCACTAATGATAGATCCACAGGTAATCCAATAATTATCCATCGAACTAACGAGTAATAATTAATATGCTTGTCATTAACGCAGCTTCAAGGGATCAAATGGATTAAAGAAAAATACGGTGACGAGTTACGAGTCATTAGATCAGGCCAACGAGGTTATCTCGAAGTGATCGAGAATTCTTTGGTCGCTGGCTCCACGGTACTTCTCGAAAACATTGGTGAAAGTGTTGATCCTGTGTTGGACACGTTGTTAGGACGAAATCTGATAAAAAAAGGTCGGGCCATTAAGATAGGCGATAAAGAGGTGGAATATAATTCTAACTTCCGACTGATACTTCATACAAAGCTGGCGAATCCTCACTATAAACCAGAAATGCAAGCTCAGACGACATTAATCAACTTCACTGTGACGAGAGATGGCCTTGAAGATCAGCTGCTTGCAGAAGTCGTGAAAGCTGAAAGACCCGATCTAGAGGAACTTAAAGCGGAGCTAACAAGACAGCAAAATGATTTTAAAATTACACTGAATAGCTTGGAAGATTCTCTTCTCTCAAGGTAGTTTATGCTTATATCCATAATTTTTTATCCGTTGCTTTGGCTACAATCGCATTTTATTATCGTAGATTGTCATCGGCTGGTAGCAATGTCTTGGAGGACACGTCACTGGTTGAGAATTTAGAGACCACGAAGAGGACAGCTGCAGAAATAGAGTCTAGGGTTACCGAAGCTCGTGGAACTAGTCGAGAAATCGATGCTGCTCGTGAACTTTATCGACCAGCCGCAGCCAGAGCTTCCTTGCTGTATTTCATTTTAAATGATTTGAACACCATAAATCCAATCTACCAGTTCTCGTTGAAGGCTTTCAGCGTAGTATTTCAAAATGCTATTTCAAAAGCCGAGCCTGCAGCCAACGTTAATGGTAGAGTTCAAAATCTCATAGACTGTATAACTTACTCGGTTTTCATGTATACCACAAGAGGACTCTTCGAATGCGACAAATTGATCTTTACTTGTCAAATGGCTTTTCAAATTCTCTTGGCTCGTGATGAAGTTACTCCCGGCGAGCTCGACTTCCTTTTAAGATTTCCCATAACTCCTCACGTTACATCTCCCGTTGATTTTCTCACCAATACCAGTTGGGGTGGAATTAGAAGCCTCGCTACTAGAGAAGAATTTCGGTGAGTGAAGAAATAGGACTAGATAAGGGAATAGAATAACTTAAATTAGAATATTTTAAATAATACCTCGTTACAGTAACTTGGATAGAGACATAGAGGGTTCAATGAAGCGTTGGAAAAAATTCGTTGAGTGTGATTATCCAGAACGAGAGAAATTTCCTCAGGAGTGGAAAAATAAAACAGCGATACAAAGGCTATGCATGTTGAGAGCTCTTCGGCCCGATCGAATGACTTACGCTATTACCGCTTTTATCGAGGAGAAACTCGGTCCAAGATATACTGAAGGGAGGACAGTGGAGTTTGTGAAATCTTTCGAAGAAGCTAGTCCTAGTACTCCTATATTTTTTATTCTCTCACCGGGCGTCAATCCTCTCAAGGTAAAGTAACTTTTTCAATATGTTCCTAAGTAATTGTCTACCAATCTTATTTATACCCTCCTGTATTCTTTCAGGATGTGGAAGATCTCGGTCAACGATTAAAATTCACATCGGATAATCAAAATTTCCATAACGTTTCTCTTGGTCAAGGTCAGGAGACCGTAGCCGAACAAGCTATGGATATAGCAGCTAAGAATGGTCATTGGGTGATACTACAGAATATACATCTAGTTAAGAAATGGCTACCCTTGTTAGAAAAGAAATTAGAAACAACCGCTGATGGCTCTCACGAAGATTATAGAGTTTTTATGAGCGCCGAACCAGCAGGTTCGCCTTCCGGCCATATAATTCCTCAGGGTATCCTAGAATCGTCTATCAAAATCACGAACGAACCACCGACTGGCATGCAGGCAAATTTACACAAAGCCTTAGATAATTTTACCCAAGAGACTCTAGAGATGTGCACCAAGGAAGCAGAATTCAAAGCTATTTTGTTCTCTCTCTGTTACTTTCACGCTGTAGTAGCTGAACGACGAAAGTTTGGTCCTCAAGGATGGAACAAGATCTACCCTTTCAATGTTGGCGACTTGAATATTAGTGTTAGCGTACTCTATAATTACTTGGAAGCAAGTCCAAAGGTACCTTGGGAGGATCTAAGGTTGGTACTTTATGAAAACCACTCTCGAAATAAAGTTCTGTCGAAAAAAAGTCAATTTCATTAAGAATTCATTTCATACTTAAAGGTATCTTTTTGGTGAAATCATGTATGGTGGACACATAACGGATGATTGGGATAGAAGACTTTGCGTTTCTTATCTCGAAGAATTTCTACAACCAGATCTAGTCGATGGAGAATTACATTTAGCACCAGGTAAAATGTTTTTTATTTTGTTATACGAAATCTACTGCTTTCAATTCAATCAACTCATTTCTTTTAAAGGTTTTCCAGCACCACCCAACATGGATTTGGCTGGTTATCACGCTTACATAGACGAAGTTATACCTCCAGAATCTCCATACTTGTATGGATTACACCCAAATGCTGAGATAGGTTTTCTAACGATGACGGCTGAAAATTTATTTAAAACTGTATTTGAAATGCAGCCTAGAGATGCCGGCAGTTCTGGAGGACAAACAGTAACTAGAGAAGATAAGGTACATCGATAATACTATTTATTTAAATATTCTAACTAATCAAATGATGTTTTAACAGGTGAAACAAATGTTAGATGAAATAATAGAGAAATTACCGGAAGAATTCAACATGTCTGAAATAATGGGGAAGGTTGAAGAGCGTACACCTTACGTGATAGTCGCCTTCCAAGAGTGCGAGAGGATGAATTATTTGACGAGCGAGATCAAACGGTCGCTACGTGAGCTGGATTTAGGATTGAAGGGTGAACTGACGATTACATCAGACATGGAGGATCTGGAGAACGCTTTGTTTCTCGATCAAGTTCCACCCGTTTGGACGATAAGAGCCTATCCTTCTTTGTTGGGTCTTACGAGTTGGTTTGTCGACTTATTGTTAAGATTGAGAGAATTGGAAAGCTGGTCTACCGACTTTATTGTAAGAGAAAATATAACGTGCTTTTTCCTTTGAATATTATCGCGTAATACTTTCGAGTAATTTATGAAAAAACCTTGTAATTCTTGTTTAGTTACCAGCCTCGGTTTGGCTTGCGGGCTTCTTCAATCCCCAATCATTATTGACAGCGATCATGCAATCGACGGCCAGGAGACAAGAGTTACCGTTAGATAAAATGTGCCTTCATTGTGATGTGACAAAGAAGAACAAAGAGGAATTTACTTCAGCTCCGAGAGATGGCGCATACATCCATGGAATTTTTATGGAAGGGGCCAGGTGGGATATTCAGAGTGGGATCATAATCGATTCCAAGTCGAAAGAATTGTTTCCTATAATGCCGGTTATAAATGTGCGAGCGATTACACAGGACAAACAAGATTTGAGAAATATGTACGAGTGTCCAGTTTACAAAACTCGTACACGTGGGCCTACTTATGTTTGGACTTTTAATCTTAAGACCAAGGATAAGCCTGCTAAGTGGACTTTAGCTGGCGTTGCACTCTTGCTTCAAACTTAAATTTTTTGTTCACTTGTAAAATAACGATTGTACCTGGACAAGTATAATAAAATTATGTGCCTGTAAAATATATCCGTAGGAAATATATACTCATTCACAAAAGAAATGAGTACATGAAAGCTTTTGTGTTTCAAAGAATACTCCCGAGGAAAGAGACGGAGACTTTAATCTCGTCTCGTCACTTAGCCTAATCGAAGTCGTTGCTCAGCCGCGATTACTCGACGTAAATAGGACGTGGATCGTCCGACGGTAGTCTCGGAAGACCGGATGGAAAGACAGGCCACACGAAAATACCAGAACATCGACTAATCGAGCGAAGGTTAATAAAACGAAAGACGGAGAAAACTAACTCGAAGTCTCGGAGGAGGCTTCCTCCCTTCTCGAACGAAAAGGCCGATTTTTTTACGATGGGGAAAAAAGAAATTATCTGTCATTCGTAGAAACTGCTTTCTTGAAGAAGAAAGAACAAAAGAGAAAAAGAAAGGAAAAGAAAAAGAAAGGAGATCAATAGTGAGTGGAAGGAGTAATAAATAAAAGCTAAAATTTAACTGGCTACAAAGTATCGGTCAATTTAATTTACGAGTCTCGAAACACGAATTGAGAGAGATAGAGAGAGAGAGAGAGAGAGAGAGAGAGAGAGAGAGCGAGAGAGAGAGAGCGAGTGAGAAATGGCTCTAAGACGAGCTGTAAGGAACAGAAGAGATACAAGATTTATCCACCTTGGAGACATAAAAGCTTTCAGATTGCGGCGCTGGATCAAAATTGTATCGTGTTAGCGAAAGAAATTAGATTTCCCTTCCAGCAGTCATCGTCCAGGGGTAAGAAAACCGTGTAACTTTCGTCGTAGTCGTCATTGTCGTCGTTGTCGACGAGAAACGATTTTCCAAAATAGAATGGAACCCTCCATCAAATATGCAGAGGTTATTAGCTCGGGAAGGAGCGAAGAAAAATGTTTGCTCTTCTCCCTTTCCTTACTTTGATACAGCCCTTAGCGCCGAAGGGAACGGCCGTATTCTCAATAAACTCAAGAAGCTTCGTAGGTAGACCAAATTCGAGCGCTCTCAAAGTACCACTTTCGAGAGATCCCAGGTGAGAAAATTTCTCTAACTCTATCGTCGTTAGAGAAAAGAAAAGAATAACTTCTCCTTTAGATGAGAGAGAAAATGGGATATTAAAACTGGTTCATGAATCCCATCAGATGTAAAGTCGAAAAGAGGGGAGAAGAAATTATCGGCTCTTTAATGAAGCTTGGTGATTGGTTCGGAAACACTCTCAACACTGCGATTTCGCGTTCGATCGTAGTTCTTTCTCTTTCTTTCTTATTTTCTCTTTCTCTTTGGTTCTCTCTCTTTCTCTCTTTCTTTCTTGCCTACCAAACTTCAATCACGCTTTTCATTAAGCCATGCCCGAGGATGAAGGGTATAGGCTCAGATCGAATAACCGGATGTATTTCGTACATCAAACGGGAGCTAGCTATTATATTGAAGCTGCTTTCTTTCTTTCGCTCTTCCGTTATATACTGGCAATAATTGGAGAAACTTTAATGGCTAATTGGCTGTCGACCATTCATTAAATGATATCCTGAAAAGTATACGAGATATTGTCGAGACAATGCAGATAAAATTTTCTTTCCAAATAAATATAGGCGAGTTTGAATCATTTTGAGTAAATCCTCTTTGGAATTTATCATGGATATTTGATTAATTAAAATTCTATTCTAATGAATTTTCAATGTAGTCTTCACTTTCGAGAGAATAAATTAAGAATCGTATGCTGCATACGATTGTAGTCCGTAACTATGAATTTGGTCTGGATATTAATGGAACGTCGTTAGTGTGACAAATCACTTGTCAGAACGATGTGTCATTCGGTTCGAAATCTGTTACGGGATCTTCGATAGTATATCGAAGATATGCATAGTATCGATCCAAATGATTGATATGTTCTTCCCGAAGGGGAATTCGTTCGGATTTGCCTGGTAAATAATATATCAATATCGATCCATTGTATCCTACGAGATAGGTATTTTAATTCGGCATTTCAGTAATCCTGCTTTGTCTCAATTGCCATGACTTAATGTATATATTCAGAGATAGAAATGCATATCGATGACATTTTTTTTTTTAATAATAATAAATATATCAATATTTTGTATATCAGTGCAAGTCTCTTTTTTATAAATCTTCTATAGCAATCAACTTATATTGTTCTCAAAAAAAAAAATAAAATGATCGCATCGGATCCTTCCGGTTTATTTCGTGCAATAACACAAGGAGAAGTTAATGGTTTCCTTTGTCTTCCTTTGTTCCAAGTGAAGACGACGTTGAGAAAGTCATTTTTCATCGAACACCATCGGAAGACTCCGGAATCGCTCATTTCGTCAGGTTAATCATTTTTAAAGGACCGACCGCAGGTGACAGCGGTCTCGTCATATTCCTCACGGTCTTTTATTAATGCCGTCGGAGGCATGTGAGCGACGACTCACTTTGAAAATTAAATTTTCTACAGTTGGCCAGAAGAAGAAAAAGATAGAAAGAGAGAGAGAGAGAGAGAGAGAGAAAGAGAAAGCTCTCGTAATAGCAGAAGGATAATGAAACGACGCAAAGGCTGTGCACAATTTGTTTTGCATACAATTCACATTTTTCATTTCTTTCTTCTTCTCTTTACTCTCTCTCTCTCTCTCTCTCTCTTTATTTCGTCAAATATATCTACTATTTGATGTCGCATCGTTTCAAACTCAGAGTATAAACGAACATCGCATAAGCGTAGATTTGACAAGTAAATACGTTGTAATAATTAACACGTTCGTAGCAAGGTATGAAACATACCTACATCTTGTTTTTTCTGAATAAGCAAATGCTTAATTTCCGAGTAAGTATTTTCTTTCAAAGAAATCATTTGATTTTTTTCTTTGTAATAAAGCTTGCAGAATATTCACATGAATTGTAAAAAATAAATGGGAGATAGATATTCTTGTAAAGACAAGACAGGTATCTAACGTGTCCGAGTAACGGCACGTGTTCGCAATAATTCTCTATTCCTACCCTCTCTGAATTCTCTCGGCTAATGCTGTGCCAACAGCATGAGCTTCCTTTTTTGTCGGCTTATGCCGACAAATTCGACCCCACCTTCTGGTCGCTTTGTCTTCGACCACCCTCGTAGAATGAGAGAAAGAAAGACAGGAGAAAGCAACTCGCGCGTGTTGCCTTTAATACCGTACCGGTGGATTTGGGACTCTAAAACTTTGATTCGATTTACACGTATCTTCTTTTTCTCTCTCAAGAATATCAACCAAGTATATATATTAAGTGATCCGTGCTAATCTCTAAATAAATTTATTTTCGAACATATGAACGATCGATAGAATTGAAAATGAACGTCACTTTTAATATGTTCAAATTTCACTTTACCTCTTTATTCAATCCAATATATTTTTCGAAATCCATTCATTTATAGATTAAAACAATTGTTTCTTCTTCATCGATAATAAAGGTGAAGCATTTTTGATTAAAATGAATTCAAGAGACAGTAGTTACCGACTCGTCCTATATATTTATGTTTTTTACGTGTATCACCATCACAATCGTTCGAGTGTGAACTCTGATATTCAAGGCAGTAATGAAGTTCGAAATCGTAACGGATGCGTAGGTTCTTCAAAGTGAGGCAGAGATGTTGAGAGAATTAATTAAACAGTCACAGCGCGGAAAGGGCGGAAGCGAAGTAGGAAGATAGGGTGACTCGGAAACTGGAAGAGAAAGAGAAAGAGAAAGAGAAAAAGAGAGAGAGACCTTTGAGCGGCAAGTCTGTAAACCAATCAGTGACGCCTCGCTGATAGTGGGACTAAGGTCGAGCTAGCTAGATCGCTCGACTGAACTGCTTACTTGATTACGATATAACTTGGACCGTTCTATCGATTCTCCTTACGTAGCTCCATATTTTTTGCTTGCTCTTGCAAGATATCTCGGAAAACTTGACGGCTTACGCAGCTCATTGATTCAGCAAAAAAAAACTTCCTTCGATTATTTTAAATGTCTTTTATAACCGATGGTGTCAAACAATCATTAAAAAGAATTACGGATAATTTTCGAAAATTTAAGATATTCAGACTTTTCGAATTTTTTTTAAATGTTATGAAACACATGCGACTTATTAAGTCACATGCAGAGTTTAAAACAAATATTCTTTTATTATAACAAGACGGCTATATACGGATTTATATTTTGATTTTCAAAATTGCAATGAAGAAAGAAGCATGTGTGTCGCCGACATTAACGTAACGCAGAGACAGAGGAAGAATAATTTTTCGAGATTTCTAGAGGTAATAAACGTATATAATTATACATATAATTATAATACAAAGAGTTATTTCATTTCTTATTATTCATACTTATTGTTAAATGCCTACACACCAAATAATAAAAGCTATGATTCGTTTGATCATATATTCATCCTATTTCTTCATCTAGCACAGTATTTAATCATTATCGGTTAATATCGCACAAAAGAATAACATGCCCTGTATAAAAAAAGATAAAAAGGATAGTCTTGGTAACAAGATGAAAATATAAGGAGAGTACGAATGGTATTCAGCAGGACCCTTATAGAGCCATTTGTTGGAAAATGCAAGAAAAAGTCGGGAAAGACAACGAGGTATCTGTCTGAGCACACGGTATACGTGAGTCGACACCAGATATCCTTCTCCCTAGGCGAGTATTCTCGCGGGACACGACAGAGAACAGATATTCGATAGGCATGAGCTTCGCCAAACAGCGCTCTGAGTCGATTGTATACCTTACTCTCTCTCACTTTTCTTTTCTGCAGACTCATCGCTTTATCTCTCTCTCTCTTTCTCTCTTTTTCTCTCTCTTTTTCTCTCTTTCTCTCTCCCACTAATTTAGCGAGTATCATCGGTAGAACTCCAATTGTCCTAATTAATGTGTTTTTCTCGACGATAAGAGAGACAACGTTTTTGCCCCTCGTACTCGACGTTGCGTATTGTT